CAATGTTGCAGCCAGGGTTGTCTGACGAGTCAGTCTCGTCATGCCCACGCAAGGCCAACTCAAAAGCCCCACAAAACTTAACACAATCAATTATCTTGGATAAAATATACCTGTTTTTATCCACCTCCTCGTTGTGTTTTCTTATCGCAATCCTGTGGCCGTCGTCTAACTGGGTAGCGATGTTAACTCTTCCCAAAATGGCTAGTTTGACAGAATTACCCATGTGTGCCCTAGTGTTCTCATGTTTTCTTACTTTCTCGGACAGGTGCTTCATATCTCTCACTCCCGTAACTGTCCATGCTGGATCTGCGCCAGTTGCTTTAAACAGCATGCACGGAAAGCAAAATAAGGCATTGGCAGAAACGCACCCACATAGCCAAGCCTTTTTGGTGTACCAACTGGAAGAGTAGCTTCGCGTGTACTTCTTCCCTTTTTCGCTTGTCTGCTGTCTGATTAAGAGGTCAGGCTGATCTGGACCCAGCTCTTTTATCTTCAGTTTTTCTGCCAAAGTTCTCTTCTCAAACGGAATTTGGAGTAGAGACTTTACAGAGTTAGGTTCGTGTCCGGAATTAATGACACCTGAGCCCGCCATTGTCACATAATTGAAAATTGCGCCACTACAGACCAGCCCTGATTTTAGCAGTTTGGGGCGACAGAAAAATCGCCTATTTCAGATAAGATTTGAGGACACTGATTGGCTACATTTTATGTCACATCTTGAATATACTTATATCTTGAATCAGCATTTGACTAAATTCTACAAAGACCCGCCTCCTGTGGGCGATTTCTCGATTGCCCCTCAGCTGAAATTGAGACGTGCAGACAGGCAGAGAAGTCATATTATGATGGTAAAAACATATCTTTTTTTACATATGATTTTCTAATATATCACATCATACAAATATACATTTAAATAATTTATATAATTATTATTTTGTGTGTGTGGTTCAGGGAGGGTGGCGCCCTAGCGCCCTCTATTGGCCAGCCGCCACTGCTCACTACAGAGGAACAGTGAAAACGGACCTCTTTCAAACAGTGTCGAGTTCCGAACGTTGTTTAAACGACATACTCCGGTATTGCGGTATTTTAAAAATTCATATCATAACAAAAATAAACACCGGTATTCGGTATGAACCGGTATA